TTTGTTCGACGTGGTTTTGACTGAAAGTACTGTGCAATACATGATTAAAATGAAAGAAAAGGATGATTTTCCAATGAAAATGATGAATATCTATCAATCATAACATTGGGAGATTTAGCCATTTTTAGTCGACAGTAACTAGGATCAACATTACACATATTTAACTGAAATTGAACCCATGTGGAAATGAATGTTGTACAATTTACTTCAATGACTGGGGTCTCTTCAAGTTTTTAACATAGGAGTCAAATGCTTTTTGAAATCATATTAACGAAGTGGGATATAAATGCATTTTTTGGTTCATTCTGTTTTACTTCGTTGATACTCTTTGTTGTTTTTATTTCTATGACAATGTTTATTTAGATTATTCGTGACAGTTTTCATACTGTTCAAAATAACAATCATTGAAATTTATATGGAAAAAACTTCTACATGAGCGAAGTTTATTGAAAATTCAGTCGAGATTTTTTCTTAAACTTATTTTCATTTCGAAAAAAAAGAAAACAAATTATTAGGAATTTTATGAAGATACGAATCATATTAATTCGTGTTTAGATCTGTGAAAATTCGTTTCGTTGAACAGTTTTATGGTATTGTCTATTGGTCAATAACGCTACAAAAACTCAGAAAAATAATTTCAATGTAAAAGGAAACACAATTTTTTCCTGCTTTTTGTGTAATTTTTTGCTGCCTATTTTTCATTATTCATTCTTAAACATAGGAAACGTTTTCATTCTCACTTCAAACAATACCTTAAAATCACAAGTTTATTTCTCACGAGTAGATTCTTTTGTATTTCGATTAATAATACAAAGATCACTGAAGTTTTTTATTGTTGTGATTTTTTGAAAATACTTGACAACATTTTATTTTATTAAAAAAAAAAATCAAATTGCAATTTTTAACATTCAGAATATTATTTTTTAAGGACAAATTGATCAACAACATTATCATCACTATTGTGATGATAGGAAAAATGTAAATATGTTCTATTAGCCCATAATTGAGTATAACCATATTGTTGATCATGATAAATACTCCATTCAGCATCTGAATATTCTCCATTATCAATGTCTTGTCCAGCCATTCCAATTAGAATATGTGTTATACCATCATCAACACACTTTTGTTGAAACATAGGACATGTTCGTTCATATGAATGTTTATGTGCAAAAAGATTAAGATCAACATGATATTTATAAAATAATGGTTCTAAATAGAGTTGTAACATAAGTTTAATAAAATCATAAGGTTCATCTGTTTCTGATGCATACATTGGTCGATGTGAACCAACAATTAACCATGGAGTACGAGAACGATTTACTGAACAAAGATCTTGTTCAAGCCATGAATATTGTGGAGATGTATGACGAAAATCATGTTCTGTTGAATAGTAAACAATATGTGTTGGACCTACATCAAAACTATACCAAAAAAGACCATTTCCATTTGATGGGGCATTAAAACGATGAACCATTGGAACAGCACATTCACCACCTGAATCATAACCATAATTTCCCCTAAAAATAAATGGTACAGCAATAAAAATGATTCATCAGCACGAAATATGTTTGATTTTCTATTAAACACGACACTGACCATTCTGGTCGAAATCCACCCGGACCTGGTGCACCACTTGGATCATTCTCTCCACCTAAGACATGATCATATTCATGATTCCCGATTCCAACCATATATGGTACACGAGCTGCTATAGGTTCGATTTGTGTCATAAAAGCATCCCATTGAGCACCAAAACCTCGTGCATAACTAATATCACCAATATGTAACAAACAAGTTATATTTGTTAATAAGATTCGTGGTGTAACTCGATCCATTGTAGATTTAGAACCAGGTGCATATGGTGCTAATCCCATATCTCCATATGCAATCATATATACTGGTTCATCTTTATTTGCTGGTCGATTTGTAAATGAATAAATTGATGACCAACCATGTTGATCTGTTCCAACGCGATAATAATATTTTGTTGATGGACGAAGATCTTCTAATAAAATGGTATGCATATATCCTGGATCAATAAATCTTCGTGGATGCCATTCATTAGCTTTTCCTTCACACATATCTGATGCTGTATAAGTTGTTGTTCTTCCATTTTTATGAAAATTTAACGAGGATGGAGTTAATCCATATTGACATTGAGGAGTATATTCTGATGAATTAGTTAAATAAGAAACAAACATTTGATCAATTCGATCACCATATGCTAAATGGACATGCATTGGTTCATTGTAATTCCGTGGTTGAATAACAGGTGACTTAGCATTAAGAAAATAATTCGCTGAGCAATTATGTTCACGTGAATAATAACGAAATTCTAATGAACGACGAAGATTAATCATTTTCCATAACATACTACTTTGACCTTTGTTAACAACTTCATTATCGAAATAATCACAAACTAGAATAATGATACAATATGATTTATTTACTTATGCCAATAAATTATAAAAAGCAACATGTTCTTTACCTGCAGTAAGTGGACTCTCGACAGAATATATTCCAATATAATCATCATAACATGGAGTTAATGGTGATGACCAAGTGACTGTGATCAGTTCGTTACTGGAATAGATCGTAGATGATACATTCAAACTTGCTATAGAGACATTTGTAGAAGAAGATTTTATTTTTGAAGGCAATTTACATGGACGACGATCTGGTTTATCATCTATTGTATGACGTTTGCCAAAAGGACCATTGGCATTTAGATGTTTGCCTACTGCGGCGAAAGTAATAGACAAAAAGAAAAGAAAGACGACCAGCCTCATTTGACCAAAACAAACTCATTCTGGAGCTTGACATATTTTACCTTTCTTTACATTCAACACTGAGAACGATAAGAAAAACAAACCGATAGCATATCATTCTACATTGAAGAAGTTTTTCTATATTGCAAATGTTCTATGATGCTGTAAAGAATACAATAGATTTCATATACACCCATGTTTCTCGTGTCAGCAAAGTTCTGTGGAAGTAGTACTCATACAACAATCAATACAATTGTCAGAACTTTTTACATAAAAAAGTATAAAACCTTCAAGACAAAAACATGAACATTCTATGCGAATAAGAAATGATTTATCTTTCAATTTAGTTATCTTAAGGGGTCCCCCCCTTTCCGGCGTTTCTAAGAAACGACCTAACGAAAATTCCTGAAACTTTCAGGGTAGATAGACCTCGAGTAGTA